ATTGGTTTCTTCGATCTCTTCTTCAATTTTATAGTATATGAGATCTCTTCAATTTTGCAGTATATATTAGATCTTTTCAATCTTACAGTTTATAAGATCTCTTCAATATTACAGTATATAAGATCTCTTCCATCTTGCAGTATATAATATTTCTTCACTATTATAGTATAAATTAATAAATCATTATTAATGATAATTCTCTTCACAGGAAATATTACACTGTGTCCTCTCTGTGACAGAGCATGTTCATACCAAACGCTGGGAGACTCTTGTATATTTTCAAAGTTGACTTATTTATTCGACAATCCTGCCACAGTGTTCTTCGCCATTTTCATGTCGTTTTGGGGTATGTAAGTCAATCAAATTAACAATAAAAAAAATATGTATTTGTTTATTACCTTTCCTTTTATATAATTTACATGCTTAATTACATTTACGTTGTACACACGTATGTGTGTGAGGTGTTGTTGAACTATACATTGATGATTTCTTTTATTTAGCTTTGCCTTCTTCATTAGCCTCCTTATCCTGGGTCTTTTGCGTTTTCTTCATTTCTTCTTTTCCTCAAATTATTAATAAAACAATTAATATCTTAATTTTTATATTCCAGCCACGACGTTTCTCGAACTATGGAAGCGTGTGATAGTTTGGGAATGGGATTTGCAGAACACTGAAAGCGACGAAGAGCCAAGACCTGAATTCGAGACGACGGTGAAGACATTCCGAATAAATCCAGTGACCAGAGAAAGAGAGCCTTATCTACCAGCCTGGTCGAAGGCTCTAAGGTTCTGTGCCACGGGATCCATAGTATTTTTCATGGTAAAAACAACCTAATAATTCCCTAGAATTCTCAATAAATTAATCACAATTATTGTTATGCAACAATTCATCGTTTCTGTTCAGATCTGCGTAGTGTTGGGTGCCGTTCTAGGGACAATTATCTATAAAATATCTCTAGTCGCGGTGTTTTATAATGGCGGCGGGCCGTTCTTGAAGAATCACGCGAAAATTTTTACCTCCATCACCGCTGCCCTAGTTAACTTAATCATAATCATGATCCTTACGCGAGTCTACCATCGGCTTGCTATTTGGATGGTGAACATGGAGAACCCTAGGACTCAAACCGAATACGAGTCCAGTTTCACGTTTAAAATATTTCTCTTCGAGTTCGTCAATTTCTACTCATCACTAATCTACATTGCGTTCTTCAAGGTTCGTATAATAAACAGTAAAGATCAAAATCGGACCACCATTCTTGAAACTGCATAACCCATACGTCTATTTGCGTTTCATTCTCTTCTGAAGAACGGAGTATAAACTGCTTTTATAGGTGAAGGGAGATGAAGCTCCGTTCGTCGGCCATTTTCTAGGAGCGACTAGGATTTTTTAAAAAATGGCTGACATCTTCCGTTTTCCGTTACAAAATACCGAAAGCAATGCTTCGTCCTTCAGGTCCATGCATTCTCCATTGTTCAGCCATCTTGTTATCC